TTACATATTTATATCCTAAATAGTTCATATTATAACCATTTGATCTTATTATGGCCATTATTAATTATACCAAACAACAAATTTAAAAAATAGATATCATTAGTCCAAATTTGAGTTGCTTCCCTTGTACTATTATCTGAAATTTAGTGATTTAGATATTAAGTATATGTGTCATAGGTAATTGGCCATATCTTCTTTAATTTTTAATGAATTTTGATGGAATTTTCTTTATTATCTCAATAAGAGATTACTCTTAATTATTATAGTGATGTGGCATTTATAAATAAAAAGCTTTTCCCTTTGGGGGAGTTTAAGTTGGTGAGATATTTTTGTTTATTGTTAAATTGACTATTGACCACATATTTGATATGCTGTATAGGGAAATATATATTATTTTTTTAATAAACCACAAAAATTAATGAAAATTCTTTTAATTAGACTCTTAATGGTGTTAGTTAATTATTATCAATTAATAATATAGATATATCAATTGTATTTGGGTTTTATTCTTGGTTTTACTGGGTCATATTATGTCAATAAATAGAGATTTCACTGATAATCATAAATATCTCTATTATGAGTAATATTAGATGCTAATTAAGCATTTTTTTGTCTAAACTAGCTTATAATCAAGTTTAAATCTAATGATTTGAGTTACCAATTAGCCATTAATAAAAATTGGATATTTATTTACTATATTCGATACTGTCAACACTATAAATCCATAACAAGGAACCAGTATCGGGGGACTGAGTATGCAAACTGGGTCCCATTAACACCTAATGATAAATTAAATTGAGGTATACAAATAATGTAGTCTTTATATTAATGTCAGAGGGGTTGGAAGGTGGGATTTTACATTAAAGGCCAATCATGACTTCATATGTAAATATGACTGCTGGGATCAAGGTCACAGTTGTATTTGAACAAAAAAATAACATTAAAGGCCCATCACTACTATAATTAGTGTTATGGGTTATCATTTGTTTAAATTTTGTCTGTTAGACAACAGTTAAGAATAAACAACTCTAAAGCTTTAAAATAGTATACTGAGTCTTTCTTTGGTGGGTTTAGTATATTTTTTGTGCTATATCCCAAACCTATAGCACCAAGTGCTGACCGCAGTTCATTTCTATGGTCCCTGAACTGGTCGCATTCATGCAATAGGTGGGATATATTGTATCTCACTCCACATTGGGCACAATTGGGGCTTATTTTCTTGATATATTGGCCAGAGTCCCCTGGTAATAAAGTTGTGCCCAACCTCAGTCTTGTTATAGCCCTATCTATTTTTAGATTATTTGAATATTGAACTGGGCGACTGAGCCCCACTGAGCTATTTATAGTTTAGTTTCCTCTGACCCTGGCAGGAATTAGATTCAGTCTGCCACAAGTGAACTATATATTTTTTAATTTTGGAATATATCTCAGTGGGGGAGAGTGAGATTGATTCAGTGACACGGTTGAGGTTTAAGCCCATTTTGGCCGCCCTGTCTGCCTGTTCATTGCCTGAGATCCCTATATGTGCTGGACACCAAACTATGGTAACCTGTTTTCCTAGGTTTAGGACTTTATTATATAGTAGAATTATTTCATTTAATAAGTCTGGTCTCGACTGACTATTGTTGGATTTCAGTGAAGAAAGTGAATCCGAGAAAATGACAGCTTTTGTTATATCACTGTCATGAATCCAGCACATAGCATTTCTAATAGCAAGGAGCTCGGCGGTATAGATGGATGTATTATTAGTTAACCTATCAATTTTTTCATATTGTATGGAAGGTATTACTACAGCCGAGGCAACCCTGCCAGAGTCCGGGTCCTTTGATCCATCTGTATAAATGTGTGTTTGACCTATATATTTGTTAATTAATATTTTTGTTTCTGTACTTGCGAGATGCGGCAAATCAGATTTGTTCACTTTTTCTTGTAACGTAATGTCGACCTCAGGCAAGGTTAGGGTCCACGGCGGAACCTCCATGGGCCGCTTCTCACTCGGAATCGAGACATGCTTTTATTTATAACTCGTAACAAGACATCTGACCTATATTACATCATGCTCTCATTAATAACTCGGAATCAAGACATCTGACCTAAATTACATCAAGCTCTTATTTATAATTCGGAAGCAAGACATTTGACCTATATATCATGATACTCTTATTAATAACTCGGAATCATGACATCTGACCTATATTATTCGTACATCTTGCTCTAAATAATAACTCGGAATCATGACTTCATCTGACATATATTACAGCATGCTATTATCAATAAGTGGGAATCAAGATATCTGGCATATATTACATCATGCTCGTTTTAATAACTCGTAACAAGACATCTGACCTATATTGCATCATGCTCTTATTAATAACTCGGAATCAAGACATCTGACCTATATTACATTATGCTCTTTTTAATAACTCGAAATCAAGAATCTGACCTATATTATATCATTTGTTTATAAATAACTCGGAATCAAGACATCTGACCTATATTACATTATGCTCTTTTTAATAACTCGAAATCAAGAATCTGACCTATATGATGTATTACATCATTTTATTGATAACTCGGAATCAAGACATTTCACCTATATTACATCAATATCTTATTAATAACTCGGAATCAAGACGTCTGATCTATAGAAAGCAGAAACATTATTAAAGCAGGGAGAGATAACAGTCTGAATGTCTGAATAAGTTTATATTTAAAGAAAGTACCACTTATCAATAATTTAAAGATGATCTGATACTTAAAGATAATATCCTAGCTTTAATCAGATTGTTTGAATTTTAAAATATAATATGAGAGTCATAATTTGATCGATCCAAATACAATATTACAGTATAAATAAAATGATTGAAGGGACAGAAGTTCGTAAAATATCTTGATCTGCAGAATGCAGTGTTAGGAATTATTTAGGAAGTCGGTTGACCGCCAGAGGCGATGCATCGAATTTAAAGGGAATACTTTAAAAAGTTGTGAAAACGTGTATGACGCTGTTAAATTATGACGGTGGTGTGGACGCCATGTGTTTACCGTGCGCTATTGCAGCTGTGATTGCATTTTTGGTTGCTAGTAAAGTGGCATTTGCTTTTAATGTCATAATTTGATTTACTGTCAGTAGAGAAATGATTGACGCAAAGAAGTTCGTAATTTTTAGTGTTCTTTTGCAACCTACATGTATAATCAAATGCGACATAACAGGTTTTATTAAGTCGGTTGATATTTTAAGTTGATATCACAGTCTTTATCCATGTTATCAGATTAATTTAAATTTAAATACAATATGACTGTCTTTATAACATCGATTGATACCTGTAGGTGAATATACATGAGTATAGTATATATAAGATAATTAACTGCATTTGTTCGCCTGTTATCTGTCCATGCTTGATGTTTTGGGAAGAACTGAACAAATATAGAATATTCAGTGCCTAACTTAAATCTGGTTATCTAATCTTACTATACTAGTATACAAACTACCGTTGACTATTGCAGACGAAAAGGTGCTACCTGCTGTAAGTTATTTACCACATCTAATTTAACGGGAAATAGCGATCCCAAGTTCGGCAAATAATATTTTGCAACACGTAGAGACAGACAATACGTTTTCAACAGTTTTATTTTCTAGAAGTCATAGGTAATCGATATTACTTCCCACACAGCAATCATATACAGACACCAACAGTATATTTTTTCTAGATGTTTAATGAAGAAGCATACAAAATACAATTGATTTACAGTTTTCACACAATAATTATACATGATGAACAATGAAAGTTTTTTTATTTGTCTGCATATTTGATGTAGAAACATATATACTAGAGCTGTCGGTAGGCCAGCAACGCTCGACAATTCTAAGGGCTTGATAGCAAAGGATAATGTAAAATTTTCCAAGTGCACAAAATGGCTTTTTTTACATATCCATGTTATAAGCCTTGCAGAGAGTCCTATTATGCTCACAAAGAAGTGTATAACATTTCAACTTGATCAAAGGAAGATTTCAATGAAATATGAAAATATCTGAGGTGGTACGCAGACGTAAATGTAAATTCTAAGTTGAAAATGGGGAATAATTCTGTCAAAATGCTTGATACAGTTACCTCCTCCTGTCTACATGTCGGATTATGATGGTGAACAAGTGTGCAAAGTTTCAAAGCCATATGTCAATGGACTTTGAAAATATTTAAAGTATTACAAAAACTTTAACACAAGTGGTTACGCCGACCCCAACGCTCGGGTGACTACAATAGCTCTACTTATTCTTATCGAATAGTCGAGTTAATAATACAATTGCTTTACATTTTTTTACACAACAACCATTCACTATGGAAGTATATACATGCATTGATCAAAGCGATTAACGTAGAACCATAAAATATACAATTTTTTTTTACTATTTTCACATACCAATCATAAACGATGAAAATATATATAAAATTTAAACGATATAACCATATGAAAAATCAATATAAATATGTGAAAACATGCAACAAAATACGTGTAATAGACTGGTGAATGATAATACATAATATCAAAACTACTTGTATTAGTGATTGGACTACTTTATGTCAAATGTCTAATTCCAATTAAACCATAGTTTAACATCTGAAAGGGTGACCTTACTTTTTCAGAATTTCAGGTCTACCTCACAGGAATAAGGCCCTTTGATCTGATATTAAGGGATTTCTCTTTGCCTTTTTACAGCCGATATTCGACCATATTCCCAATTGACTATAGTATATTATTTTTCTAATCCACAAGACAGAATTTCAATTTAAAAGCTACAAAATAAAAATGTTTAATACGGATCTTAAAAAAATTAAAATAAGGGGCTCTTCAATGTTATGGTGCTCAAACGTATAAAGATATCATCCTAGACAGTGATTGTTTGCATTCATTCAATCACTCCAAAAGTTATGCATTTTTCCCAAAATTGATTTTAATTATTTATTTTTTTTTGGGGGGGGGGGGGGGTAACAGGGACTGGAGGGAGGGGGCGTAGGGCGTAGCAGTAACGGATACTATCAGATGACAGCGTCTTATCCATTTGGAGTCCCTCCAGCTACTTAGCATCTTGTCTGACTTCGACACTATTTTAATGGACTGTAGACTAAGAGAATGCGTGTATACTAGTAACTGTTTTGGCCTAGCACCTTTTGGTCAGGCCTCTTGTTCACAAAGATAAGATCAGGGTCAGGATCAAATGATCCTGGTTGTATTTTCATTGTTTTATATAACTAAAAGTAACCGTATTATGCAAGTCTTTTTTAAATTTCTTCACTCGTACATTAACTTATTTTTTTTGCTTATTAATACAACACATTTATTGTATAAAACACAAAGAAAATTGTGTTGAATATAAAATATGACAATGCCTCCAGCTTTTCATTGAAAATAATTTTGATTATAAAAAATTATAACAAAACAAAATACATTTTAAACACAAAAAGTTGGATATAAAAATATATATGTTTTTTTTTTTTCATTTGGTTTTGTAACGTGATTACTTGCTGAAAAAGGATTAAATATTGTCTGATAAGGATAATATTTCAACTGATTATATGATGTCACTTTTTTATGATGTAACATGTTATATTCAGTGACGTGATTTAATGTTTAAACGTGAAAATATGCTGTCACGTGATAATATGCTTCTGTGATACACCAATCTGGTAAGTGAAAATGACTGAAAATGTAAATGTTCTACAGCATACGTCAAGCGTAAATAAAACTTTTTATTAAACCATGTCTGATACATAAATAAAACTTATAATTATAAAATGTTCTTTTGAGTACGATCCTTTAATTCTCTGAATTTATGAAATCTTCTTTTGATTACTTATCTTATTTTCTTCTAATCATCATTGATGACTTTTTCAATAACCAATATCTATTAAACCCATAATGCCAGTGTCCACAATAAGGCTTGGTGTCATACTTGCCTGGCGTCAGGTATAATCCATTAAGATTGACATTATTACAATTTTTATACCACCAGGCCCCATGTCCATCCACGGGACAATCTATCTCGACGTCAAGATCACGGTCGTAAGTTGAAAATGGCATTTGATTATTATAAGCAAAGACATATCTTGCATCTAGGAATAAAAAGACAATATTAATTAGTTCTAGCTCTGTCATTGTCACATTACGTTAAGACAGTTTGTATGTTGACAAGCCTAAATTTCATTAACAACAAGTTACTATCCCCACAATCATACAAAAACACATCATCCGGTTCATCGCAGATGTTATATACAATTGTTATATATTACGGAAAAGGAGGTCCAATATCAGGTCAGTAGAACAACAAGTATTTGCTGTTAGCTTGCTGGTTTTCTACACCAGTCAGTGAGAAACTTTGCTCTATCAGAGACAATGTTAATTAGTCTGCGACTAAATGTAGAACGTTATGATAAGTGTTATATTGTGCATATTTACTGCTTTCTTCACAAATACATTGAAAATATCATAATATTATGTATAAACGAACACCCACAGACGATCTCTTAATTGACAGTATAGCAATATTTAATATTTTATATCATGCAAAATATAGCAACATTAAAAATTCAGACATGAATTGGTTCTGCGATAAATAAGAGAGGAATCGCCAATCTGATTATTATACTATTCTTTTGTTATTGTAATTTTGTCGTCTTTTACTTGTTTAAAACATGTATAATTTGAAGAAACTGTACGCCAATGAAACTTATACATTAGAAAAAAAGTATGGTTTAAAAACATGTAAGATGATTGTAACCTGACGATGGTAGCGATAAATGTGAAATAATTTGTCATTGTCCTTTTCAAAAACCTAGCTATCACCATTGTACGGTACGTTACGGATTTAGCTCTTAGGAATTACACCAAATATACTTACATACATATCATGTCTATCTTTCTATCATTGTTTACTATTTAAGGTGAACAAACCTGATGTGTTTGAAAATTATCAATGCTCCTTTCAAATTTATTGCAAATGTTTCAAAAAGAAAATGCTAATTATGAAAATCAATAAAATTAAAACAATAAAAAAGAGATATTTTCTGCGTAAACTTGTGTTTTTACTTTATTTTTTGTATGAAATTTTACATACAATGATATTTAATTATTTTCTTACAAAGACATAATTGTTTTATTTCACTTTTAATTAAAAAAAGATCACAAACATTGAGTTCGTTATTACACTCCATTCGGTGAATTCCTCTGAGCTATGTACAGACAGTACCGGAGAACGGCGTTTAGCTAAATTCGCGAATTCGTGAATAGAAGTAGACACAAAATATAAGCAAGGTAATTTTTTTACTTCAAACCACTATGTATTAATTGCCAAAACCAACAGATGAAACAGATGGGTCATTTTATCAGCGAATGGCTCGTGTTTTGGAGAAAAAGAAAAAGCTTTTAAGAAACAAAAATAAAAACATTTTTGAGGCAGTATTTACCTTTAAAAAGAGTATAATCTATGTAACATCGCAAGTCAACCATTGTGCCAAATAGTCGTGAGAGATTCTGTTTACAAGTCTAAATTTTCTATAAAAATTGAAATTGTTTTTGCCTCGTACTATAACTGCTGTCAGAAGCTTACTTTGTATTGGTTTTAAAGCTCTTGTGCTTTCATTTAACAAAGTGAAAATTTATATAAGAAAAGAAGACAAAAACTGTCACCATAAATGACCTCTCATTCCAGAACGTGTGCATGGCCCAATGGTTAGTGTGTAATTTGTTCCTTCTGTTAACATAAAGTCTGGACAAGCTTCATGTCCTGTTGTACTATCATTTCTTGTCATGTCAATACGAATCTCTGTAGAACTATGTTCAGCTAGTTCTTTTATATACTTTAAACCTGCAAAAATATATCAAATGTAAATATAAATATTCAGAACTTTACCAAGATCTTTAGTAGAATCCAGTCTTTAACATTTCATACTACAAAATTACAAACCCTTAAAATCATAATAACATTGCGTTCTATTTAGGGACATTTAAACCTGCTAGGTTGCCTAATGCATTAAACTTCAACAATTTATGTTTATCAATTTACTTCAACAACTTATGCTTATTAATACACTTCAGCAACTTAAAATGTTTATCAATACACTTTAACAACTATATATGTTTATCAATACACTTCAACAACTTATGTTTTAAATTATCTCTGCACTTCAACAATCTAATATGTGTATTAATACACTTCAACAACTTAATATGTTTTTATTAATACACCTCAACAACTTATGTTTATCAAAATACTCTAACAACATATGTTTATCAATATACTTCAACAACTTAATATGTTTATCAATAGACTTCAACAACTTGTATAAGCAATGCAATACGGTCAACAAGAAATATTCTAATTGTATTCGCTAATAAAAATATTTGTTTACTGTAAGAAAAATATTTGTTCCATGGTAACGAAACCAATTTTCGTATTACGCCAATTGTTTTATTTAATTGCGGTGATAAGGTGACTACGCAATACCTGTACTACATTTGTTTTAAAATGCCAATGCTACAAGGAATAATTTTTTGTTTTCATACCTAGCCACAACTCTCCCTCAACGTTCCCAAATCCATTTTCATATTCTGTAAAGTTGCGATAAAATTCCACTGACCCGTCCATTCGCCTGTGAAATATCTAGAACAACATCATGTTTATAATTATTGCTTTAAACAACATACTAAGTTTGTATCTGTTGAACGTCAGTTTTATATAGCTAAGGGCAACATGCCACTTCAAAATAAAAGAAGGACTAAAGTGCTTATTCTTCAATTTGCTGTTTGGAATGAAACTTTTGTACTTCAAATGCGTAGTTGTTCACATGATTACATGCTTTACAGCACTCAGTGAAATCATGTTTTGATAATTTCACAGTGAAATGATAGAATATAATTTACCCAGCACTGGACTATATTTGAATGCGGATGAAAAGCATGCATCATAAATAAGTCGAAATATCCTCAGAAATATTCTCTGACGTAAGTGTTGTTATACGAGAAACAAAGGCTATGTAATTTTACATGGAAAATATGCCTGCATAGAATAAAATGTAATTTGATATTGACGTATATTTGGCACCGTTTCGCTTGTTGTCGTACTGAACAAAAGAAAAGTACATAATGAGTTAAATGAATGTTAAAATGGAGGTGTTTTGAGAGCAACCATTTTTTCATGTGAGTATGTGAACCAGGAAAGAACAAAATTCTTATCAAACATTGGCATAAAAAATCCTACATACCGTCCAACCACCGCCATCGGTTTCCATGTCACAATTCACAGTCAGAATCTTCCCAGATTTCCAAAGTTTTATCTTATATTTTCCACTTTTCGCCTCAGGAAACGTATAAAGGATTTCTCTACAATCATTTGTTACTAAGCAAAGAGGAAAAAAATGTATTTCTAACATTAGGGATTGATTCAAGAAACTGTTTTCACTAATAATTCCATTAATTGTGTAAATAAAAACGACAAAAGTAACGTGTATCTATAATTATTTTTGTGTAATCATGTTAGTACATAGTTGATAAATATTTCTATAGAAAAAATCTTTTTATGAAGTAGCATGATATGGCACAAAATTCCCCAATTCTTGCTTAAAAGAAATGAAAGAGTTATTCAATATTTTTCTTTAACTGAATAAAGAGAACCGACAGGAAAATTGTCTTCAAAGTTTTTATTTCATTTCGAAACAATAAAACATTATTTTGTATAAAATATAATGTTAGTAGAAATATATGCTTAAATAGGGAAAAAGGAAAGAAAATCATCATCTAATTATGTTATTTCATTTTCATAATATCTAAAAAATTTTAAAGAATATTATGCCGTTTCAAAGATACTATATTCTAAAGCAATTATATTGTCACTTTATCTGTCTGTTTTGAAATATTATCAATTTCCGAAAAATATTACCAGTAGATTGGTCGATAAACAAAAATGTACATACATTGACTAAAAGGCAAATGTTTTGAAAGACCATGCCCCCAGTAAAACAACTTTTTTTGCCGTCATAGCTAATTTGGTTTAAGTGTTAAGACAAGAAAAAAATAACAGCAATATTTAAATACGTTACATTTATAACACGTTGCAAGCTGCCATTTTCCTGAAGCCTCACATTTCACCTCTTGTTGAATAGGAACATATCCTTTGTCACATTTTACTAGAGCTACGTCAAGGAACTTGTTTTCGCCAGGCGAACTAATCTGTACTTTACCGTTTTCAATTCTTTGATCAAAAGCACAAGCTTGAAAATAATAATAATAATAATAATAATAATAATAATAATAATAATATTAATAATAATGATAATAATAATAATGATAATATTTATAAAAAGGTACTATCTAAGCAATAATTTATTCTTTGCAAAAAATAAAAAGAAAATATCAATTGAAAATTATACAGCATTTAATTTCTTTAAGAAACTAAACTATATAATTTTTGACGTACTTAAGTCTTTGCAAACATGTGAAGCATCTTTTTGAAAACACCTTTGGTTCGCTTTACATGGCCTTGAGCTACAACTTCCAACCATTGCCTGTATGAGGAAAAATCAAAGTAAATATTTACAACCTTATTAATTGTTTGACTTAATAACAGAATAATTTCCCCTGCGTATCTGCTAAAAGAGACATACTTCTGTAAGATATATTTTTATATGCAATTAGGAAAAGCCAGGGATGATTCCTCGAATCAATATTTTTCACAATGATTAATTTCACATACTACAGACATGAAAACATTACGTGTAAGGATACACTTCACAGATTGTAACAAATATTATTCTCCAAGATATACAATGAATTTATCGTAAAATTTTGTAAAAGTTGTACATATTATAACAATTTACAAATTGATTAACTTACGCTAGGCCATTCGCTGATATCAGAGAAAATAGAACCTCCTTTTGTTTCAAACTCCGATACAACAACAGACGACTGATCAACATCGTTTAATTTACACACGTGCTCGTTTCTGTCAAAGTCAATAGATTTGCAAACGGACATGGACATACATGTTCGCGCACAATCGTTATGGTTTATATCATTAACTTCTAGCACGGAATGACCGACTAAGGCTTTATTAAGATTGTTCTTGCTTATTTCAAAAGCATTGCATTTACTTGAATAAACATTTCCGAATAAAAAAGCGTTAATAATGACAATTCCAGCAGTCACAGTCATTGTACTAACTGGAAACAACATTGTTACTAGCCAAAATATACAGAAAACAGCAATCGTTCCTAAGACACAGAAAAGTCCCGTCTGTTTGTTATGTTAAATGTATGCCATATGAACGAGTAAAGCTATTTAACAACAGAAGTATAAAATATGCCCTTGTTATTGATCTTTGTTGAATCATCCAATTAGAAAACAGTCATCTGTTTATTATTCAGCAAATGCAAAACAACCAAGTATTTTGATTGGTTTACATACCCAGAACTTTCGCAACACATCTAACTCAGTCTGTTGTTGTAAACACAAAGAGTAGATACGAAGTAAAATGACACATATAATGTTATGACAACTGTTCATTATTTTCAAAACAACATTGACTTACCAGTACCTTCCATTCTAAATATTATGATGACAAAACGGAGTCTGACCCCATGAGATAAAGACCCCGATAGGCTGTATGTTAATTAAAGTTAATTTGCCTATATTCGAAGGTCTGCAACACTACAAATAAGTATGTTGAAAGTATTTGCTATCATACAAGACAACACCATGAAAGAAAAAGATATCCAGCTAGCTTACGGAGCGTAGGTGGTTCTATTCACGTGCCCGTTCGTGCCTGACATAATTCACGGAAGGGCACCAGATGTCTTCCTCCAACAGTAAAGCTGGAACGTCGCGATATGACATAAACTGTGTCGATGTGACGTAAAACCCCAAAAAAACAAACAAACACCATGAACGAAATGTATATAAAGTCATTCGTAAGTATGAGATCCATGCATAATCTGATATAACATACTTACATATAGACGATATAAATTTGTACTTAATTCACCATATAAATAGTCACACTAAATTTAAATATAACTATTTTTGTCAAGAAACGGTTCATAATAAAATCCTAATTGTTTTTTATCAATGTCTAAAAAAATGTGCCGATTGTAAATCAATCCAATTTACCGAGATTTCAATTACGATTTGTTAATAATATGAATCAGACGATAATTGTTCTAAATTGCGCAAGAGAGTGTTTGTTTTCTTTGGAAATAAGATTATGTTTTTCAATGGCTGCACTGTCTGTTAAGATACTTTTATTTCATTCAATATACAATGACACGTACGACAAAACAAAACTATTAAAACTATCATTAACGATGATTCATACTCCCACCCCTATTTGAAAAAGTGTCCCGAAGCCTTATTTAAACCCGATATATTTTCTATGATGTTTTGTTTGTGTACCTATAATAATTACAATAAAGTGACTTGTTTAAAAGAATATGATAATCTTTTTACCATTATTTTCATTAAAAAAAGGAAAAAGGAAATAACTTAATTAAAAGAAATAATATTCTGAATACCATTTTAATAAAAGGGATTAAATTATGTAAATAATCTGGAAGCAAAGTGATCCTTCGGAAGCATTAATCACAACAAAATTACAAGAGAATTGCAGACTCGGTTTGATTGAGTCTGTACGAGGAATACTGAATAAATGCAACATCCCTCACGCCCCCTAACCCCGGCTTGAGTGGTACTCAATTCTCAACACTTACTAGTGCTGATATCAAATATAATAACACTGAAGAAAACTATCTTTGGGAGGTAACACAATTATAACACACATGTGCAGTGATATGGCATTGATAATCAAATTAAAAGCTCTACTGGTTCTTGATAATGTACAGGACATACGAGTTATAAAATTATAGCCAGTAACATCAAGATGAAATTTCCAAAAGTCAATGACTTGACTTTTAGAATATATGAATATGTCTTTTATGTCTCACTATCAATGTAAGTCTAATCAAACCAAAAGGGCTATCCACAAAGACTATTGGGTCCATGTCTGAGGACAATTCATCAAAAAATATCAAAGATAAAGCAACTGTGTAACAAAAGGTAGAAATCTAATGTATAATACAGTCCTCTGAAGCCAATTTAAATAAAAAGGGACTAGACTGTGTCAAACGCTCTAACAGAGTTATGAAACTTAAAACACAAATTTCCATTTTTATATTGCACTGATATTTCAATTTCAAGTTCCTTAGATAGGAGTGGATATATAATAATAAAGTAATAGCATAAGCATCAATAACTTAACCTTGAAAGTCAAGGTCAACTTGACCTTCAAAGTCATGGTCATTTTTGACTCAATATCAATGAAAGTTTCATCTACTTGGATGTCAATCTTCAAGGATTGTTGTGTCAAAGTATGATGACAATTCATTCTCAAGTAAGATATTAAGACCCCTTGACATTTCGACCCCTTAGGATATTAAGAGACCGCCTCCGTGGTAGAGGGGTTAGAATCGATGACTTCTAATCCAGTTACCTCTCGGGCGTGTGTTCGATCCCCGGGAGATACTTTTGTAGTTTAGCGCGAAGGATGGCAGTCTTGTTCTAACTCTCCAGGAACGATGGTTAGGAAACTACATTCCTATATGACTGAAATATTTTTGGGAAAAGGCGTAAAATAATAAAAAAAACAAAAACAAACAAACAAATAAACCAACAAACAAGGATATTAAGATGATTCTAGACCCCTTGACATTTCGACACCTAGTTGGTTAGACATGCCGACCCTCTAAATCAATGTTGTACTTTAGATGGTCATTTAGATACTTTGAGACATAATTTAAAGCAAAAAGTTAATGTTTTAATTATTTTCATTACAATATCCAACAAAAAAGTTTAAAGGTAAAGCAAAATATCAACATTATTATTATTATTATTAACAATTTATTTTATCTTGTGTTACAAAGCAGTCATAAACTTTTCATGTGTGTGTGTTTTTTAAGCTGGGACATTATTGATTCCAGGTTCCAGACATAAAGTGCAGTTATCATAACAATAATCATTTATATCAATAATTCCTGATTTGTGCATTGTCTGTTTATTCATATTTACAATATTTATAAGTTTGTAGCGATTGAGTTTTTTCCCGCAAGAATCACGTGTTATATCGGCCATGAATAATTACACATTTCTACTTCATTAATGTTATATATTGAATTCACTTGTCCTTAGTTCGGAGTGATGCGATTTTTACATTTACATTATGAAAAAAAAAAGAAAAAAGAAACCAAAATACCATTCGATCAATAATGTGTGGTAATTTGAAAACAAAAAAAAATCTTAGTTTATGCTTTCCTATAAACGTGTTTCGGGAAGCTCACGTTTATTTTACCACTACAGTGTATATAATGATAATTTTGTAGAATTGTAGTTATATTAACTATAAATATTATAGTTACATCTATTTCTTATATGGTATTTTTATAATTCAATCGACCATCTCTATGTACATTTTAGAATAAGAGGTCCAAATGTCCAGTCAATTAAAGGGGTCTAAGTGTCTTGGGTCTAGGTGTCTTAGGGGTCGGTTGTCTAGGGGTCGAGGTGTCAAGGGACAGAGATGTCATAGTGTCATTCATTCATTTCGAAAACAAAGCTGTAGCACATTGGTATATGTTTGGAAAATTTTCTTTGTTAAAAGAGATGTACAATGATGTCAAACTTAAACTTATAGGGTTATGAAACTTCACCCACAAATGCACACACGCACGCTAACGCGTACGCACGCGTATGTACACACACCACACACACATGCACTATCATTTTGCATTGACATGTAATGTTTGTCTAAGGAATAAATAAGTTCCCTATCCTAATAACAAAGATTTACCACAATCATAGCAAAGGACAGTGAATATGCTAAAGTTTAACCTTTAAGATCAATGTAATTTTAAAGAAATGGCCAAAATGTTAGTTTGATTTTCATAAAGGTCTTGTTCAAAATGATGGATGCTGAGTCAACTTTTAGAGTAAGGACACTCCATTCATAAATAACAAAATAAATAACAAATTAATTAACCAGTCACCGCAACGAAAAATAGAAAACATTCAACAATTTGACCATAAAGCTCAAGGTAATTTATAAATCAATGTCAAGGTCAGTTTAATCATACTTGAAGGAATATTGTGTTCATGAATGAAGACAATTCATTTAACAGAATAAAGCTATAGCCACTTAAATACATTTTCCGATATTTTTCAAGTTAAAAATGGCTCGCATTTAGATGTGAACATCATCCACCCACAAACATAAACAAATACATTCAATTTCATTTGGATACATAACAATGCTTCGACATAATTTAGCAAGCAATTGTAAAAAAAATGATAGTCATTTTCTGCTGCTTTGATTGGCTGTAGTTGTTGCCTCCGTGGCATTTGCTTATGCTTCGAAAGTTGAGAAATTCAACCCGGAAATGAACGGTTAGCAGAAATAATACATGAAAATCCACACAATAAATACTACCAGTACGGAGAGAAGGTCACAAGGTACATATCTGAATGAAAAATGTCCCTTGTTTCATTCTTATATTTTAAGTTTCAATGGATGGTCGACATCGTTCTGTCCTCATTTTGTTAAGAATATTCTATGATTTTAAAACTTGAATGATGTTAAAATTTGAAAACAAATAGGTCCGACCTAACTTCAACCTGGTTTGACATGGATCAGTGTCACGTGAAATTTGGAAGATGGTGACTGAAAAAGAAAATTTTTTGTCCATAAACGTTCCGGTCTAAAATAAAATATTTGCTTGTTTCCTACCTATCTACCAATCTTTATTAAGCTTGCATTGGTCGCGGGAGGGATAACAAATGTACTTTTAAGACTTACCTCTTACTGTTGTTTTTCTTCGGGTATTGAATTGATAAATGCAAATTATAGATGATGCAACATGAAAAGACAAATGCGTAATGTTACTTCTTTATCGTTTATGCGTTTTCGAGTATTGAATTGATTGAATTGATAAATGCAAATTATAGATGATGTCCAATGAAAAAGAAAGAAGTCTGATATAACCTCTTTATCGTAAATGCGATGCTAAATTTAATGATTGTGTGGAAGGTGACATCGGTAACTACTTTTGTGATTTATTTAGCTGAAGGCCGTCTTAAATCAGTTTGACGTCCTATAATATATACAGGGAAGATCTTATTATAAAAAAAATCTAAAGTATGAATGTTATTGGCCATTCTTATATAAAATGTAAACAAGAAAAGCATTGATGCAAAGCATCAAAGGGCGTCCAA